TCGCCTTTGAGAAAAAGGAGCAGCGCATGAACCGAACGCAACACACGCGAAACGAACAGAGACAGTCGAACCGAACAGTTTGGACGGTTTTTCATAAACCGTTCCATCCCTAATGCTGAGGGCGGTGGTCAGTTACCTGGTACTGTGGGTCCTGGGTGATGCGGCTGAGTTCCCTGAACTCCAGCTGGATGCTGGTAACTTCAGCCACGGTGCTGTCAGAGGTCCAGCGGGGGGGGTGGGCCGTGCCTTTACCGATGTTGACGTCAGAGTAGGGGATCTTGGACGGTGTGTTAAAGGCTGGCATCAGCCTGGACCCGATGTCTCTCTAAAGAAAGAACACAGGAGTGTAGATCTAAGACACCTAGAACAGACGCTAACCAGAGATGGAGGCTAATTATTGATGACTGATTGGTAAAGAATCAGCACACCCAGGAAGCTCCCTGCTCCGTTTTTCTCACCTGTGACAGAAATGATCAAAGTTACGTAACTGATCCAGACCCGGTGTAGGTACTACTCTGCTCTGGCCCTGCGCCTGCCAGTGATAATGTGCTATACGATTGGCTGAATGTTACCGCATGACATAAAACACTGTGGTTGCCCAGACAACGATGATAACATAATGCAGCCTCCGTGTGTCGAATCGGGAGCATCTATAGCGTTGGCGTGTCTAATGAAGTTTTAATCTTAACAAACCTGAGAAAAATCTGTTTAGGGTGATCAAAGTACCTGCAACCCCATGATATAAAGGGGGAGAGCTGGGTAGTGCTGTAGCTAGCTGTGCTCAGTAGCTAACAGGTTAGCCTACTTTAGCTCGGTCAGTTAGCCATATTAAAGTCATGAAAGAGGATTCTGTGTTGGAAGATATGTTCAAAGGCTGTTTGTTTTTTTTCTTTTTAATTGTGCGCATTGCCCCGTTCTTCGCAAAAGTTCTCTACAGTGAAAACGCCTCCTCCGGTAATTTTGTATTTCACCTAGAGAGGCAGCAAAGAGCCCGGATATAACTAGTCAGCAGGATATCTCCATAAGAAGAAGAGTTCTCTGCCAGTGTTTAGATTAGCAGTCAGTATGCATGCACAAAAGGTCAGATTTGCATTTAAAATAGACTTTTAACTACCTCAATCAGCGTGTAGCCCTTTAGTCATCTATAAAAAAACAAAAAACAATTTAAGGTGAGATCGCCATACGGGTTTCAAATGGCTGCCTCCTCCACAGTTAATACGTTTTTTAAATAAAAGCATTGTATTTAGAAAAAAACATTTATCTGCATGATGTGGTAGAAATGCTTCGCCAGCGCTCTGTTTTGTATATTTACATTAAACACAGCAGTACACTTGAAAATAACACTGGTTAAACTTTTACCAATATAGACATGTTAAACAACCTTAGAAAAGTTAGATTCTCCACAATTCAACCGTCAAGTTAATTTTATGGAAACCATGAGCACCAGAGCACAATTAATAAACAATAACGCACGTTAAATTGAATTTTTTTAATAAAGTTTTGACTTTAACTTCATGTCAACAACCGTTGTTTTTTCTACAAGTAGAATAACTGTTATTTTCGTTGTCTTAAATCTCTATGAAAGTAATTTTTAAGACGTTCCAATTGTCCTCCTCTGTCCTCAGATATTAATAAAAAGAATAAAAATAGGCAGAGACTTTTTGTGTCACCTTGGTTTTAGAAACAAATATTTTTAGCTATTTTCTGACATTATCCACCAGTTCTTACCTGTTAGCTGAGAAAAACTTGTTTCAGTCTATGGGCAATAAAAGCAGAAATGAACTTAAACCAGCAGCTGGAGGACTGGGAGCTGAACTGGGAGGGGGACTCACTGCTTTGTCCAGGAACAGGCTGTCTCCGCTCAGGTGGTAGCTGCTCAGCAGGCCTCCCAGGATGCGGATGGTGCTTTCAAACAGATTAACGTCAACGTTTTTGTTGAACGTCAGCTCCGTGGCAACCCACTGCTTGGCCTCTTCAAACTCTAAAAGTTAAAAGACGTCATTTGAGAGGACATTTCCACCCTCCTATATTATAAAACTCTAAAAACATACGTAGATACATTTTTCATACCTTCTTTGAGCCCAAGGATCCACATGGTGTCCAGAGCATCAATCAGAGTGAGACCCAGACCGAACCACTCGCTGTAGGACCTGGACACGGGCCTGAGCTCATCATGGCCCCAGGAATAGTCTTTATACCCCTTCCAGGCATGTCTGAAAGCGTCCCGCACTGCTTCCATCCGGCTGGTTCCTGGAGAACAGTGACAGGTCATCAGGGCAGGTGAATCCACACCCTTATTCACAAGCACGATACAGCAATGCATGAATGTTTGTCCCTACTGGAGCGGATAAAAGCTCCACCAACCTGAACCATTGAAACCTCCAACTTGTTGATTTCCAGGTGGCTCCTCCTTGTTCTGCCCATCCCTGGTTCCCTCTGTGGCCTGATCCGTGTCGATCATGGCCCCACGCCAGCTACAAGTCATCACAAGTTAAGAAAAAATGTTAAACCTTCTTCACTTTCTATCTTAACATCCAGCAACATAATAACTTAACAAACTATTTGAATTTAATCAAAGAAGATGATACAAAGCTAAAGCATTAGCAGCTAATAACAGAGTTAAGTCTGACCTGATTAATCTAACTGATACTAGTTAACTTTAACCCAACGATACGGCTTTTAACACAGAGTTAATCCTAACCTGATGACCTCATCAGGTCAGGATTAACAAAGTTAATCCTAACCTGATAACCTCAT